TTATCTTATCTGTTTGGTAACCATGGTAATTTCAGTTAGGACCACATTTAGGACAGATAGCTGAAATAAAAATTGTCACTGTCCAACAATGGTATTACATTTATTAATAAATGAAAATGAAGAACGGAGATGTTTAATGGTAGAAAAACTCTTGGAGGACCCTGAAAATGTGTTACATTTTGATGACAAAACACTTATAAGATGAACACGAGACTTATGAAGATGAACGCGAGCAGAGCAGCATGTGTGCAGCGAGCCGGATAACGAACGTACACACCCACTGCTGGAGCAGTTCTCGTTCTCGACTTTATTACTGACTTTATATATTTGAATGTGAATTTTCATCCCGGCCCGGGACAATAGACTTGATATCATTACGTGATTGCGAATGACGTCATTACGTTAGGGCAAAAAATTTTTTTGAACCGGTTCATTGAAACGAACTGTCCGAAAGAACCGGTTCGCGGAAAAGAACCACACTTCCCATCACTAGTGACTTACACACCGTGTCTACACCGGACGCGAGTGGCGCGGCGCGGCATGACAAAATACTATAGAACTCATTATAATCAGTGATCAGTGTAGACAGACATTAGCTGTTGCGGCGCGGCGCGACATGACAACTGTCGCGTCTGGTGTAGACACGGTGTTACAGTTTTTTGCAAAACGTGATTTTCAAATTGAAGTAGCTTCTATTATTTTGTTTACCTCATCAGCAGCTCGCGCAGTGTTGGTTGCTTGGTAACAGACCTGAGAGTGGATTGTCGAGCTTGATAATGCAATGTAAGATTTCCTAACTAGAGATAAGATACGATTTGGTAAAATAGGATAAGAATCCTAAATCAAGTTAAGATTTGCTTCTGTAATACGAATTTCTGAAAAATCCTAATCTAACATATCACATCTTAAATTAAGACCTAAGATAAGAAATTTTCTGTAATACGCCCCCAGGGCATACCTGTCAACATTTGGGTCCCAAAATACGGGAGACCGGGGTGGGGGGCTGGTGCTTGGGGTTTATATATTATATATTAATAATATATAAATATATTATTTATATAATAATAAATGATATTATTATATAATATATAATAATATTATTATTATATTAATTTAAACAATTATTATCAAACAATTATTTAAACTGCGTGTATATCAAACTGCGTGTTTTCTGCGCTTCTCCTCCCGTCCCATTTCTACCAGTGATCCTTTCCTTCCCGAGGTAGTCATCACTGTTGTAGGTTGCCAAGTTGAACAAATGGGTTGAAATTTGTGTGTCGATTTTGTGAGAAGGATGCGTTTCATACAAGATCTGGCAACTGGACAACCTTGGAATTTGTTGACGTGATTATTCATATAATGACGTTTGGGCCATACAAATTACAGGAGTTTTACCGTAGGCGAATGTAGCAAACATATAAAATACGCCCAGTGGGATTTTTTTATAGAAAGATTAAAAATTCGTGAAAATATTTAAACGGGATGATAGCGGGATAGAATGGTAAAATACGGGAGAATCCCGGGAAAAACAGGAGGGTTGACAGGTATGCCCCAGGGTCACATATAGGCATTGTTTATAATTAAATGATTTCATAGAAACCCACTTTTAGAAATAACTGAAGACTTTTAAGAGAAAAAAAAAATGTCATGCATGGTTGTTGCATTGTGTCATGTAGTCTTTTTATCAGTAGTGAATCCATAACTTTTATTAGGTAAGATAGCTTTTAGATTAAATGTTTTTATCGGAAAAAAAAAAAAAACTTGCACTCTGCACGACTGATTCAAAAGCTCTCAGTTGAGACATTAGACATTATAAAGATGATTCAATTTGGCAACTTTTATAATAAAAATACTGAATCCAGTTCCATTTACAGTAATTAAAACATTAATTTCCATACATTAAATATGGTTCAAACCTAAATCACGGCCCTTAAAATCTTCCTCAGTTCTAACCAAAGGAAGAATCTATAAAACAAAGCAACAACAAAGGCATGCTACCACTGACGTTTGATTTAGCTAAGATGAGAAGCCATTGCCTCAACCCTCAAATACCCGAGGCACTCAGTGGCCGGCCTATCAACTAAAACCTCACCTTCTAATCTCTTCGACGACAAGGTCACATTTTCTACACTTAAGTTTTACTGTACACCCTTGCAGGATGGAAGAGACAAATGTGAACAAAAACACAACAACTGCACCACTGTGAGTGTGTTAAAGGGTGTCCCATTTTTCCAGGTTATCTCAAAAGGGTCTCTTGTATCGTCACAACACAGGAAACTCTTATCTGCAATCTATCTGTCATTCAGTTTGGGCGAATCGGCACCCTCCTCATCTTCGTCTTTGTCATCTTTTGCCCCGGTCAGTCGTTGTCGGGCAAAGTCCTCGAAGATGATGTCATCGTCACTAGGGACAAACAATTATAGAAGCATTCATCAGTTGTTGCGTTTCCCTGAACGCATTTTTGTGTTGTGCATTACAAGCTGTTATTTTTTCTTATAGACAAGAAGTTGACAAAGTACAGACAGATAAGCAGTGAGCAATCATTATTGTTTTTGACATTTCATATATATATATTTTTTTCCCTCTTCAATTAGCTTTGGCAAAAAATTAGTGCTGGGCAAGGATTAATCGCGATTAATCGCATCCAAAATAAAAGTTTTTGTTTATATAATATATGCGTGTATACTGTGTATATTTATTATGTATGTATAAAGTGAAAATATTTACATATATTTACGTGTATATATTTATATTCATATAATTTATTTTATATAAATATATTTATTATATAAACATAACATATTTTTCTTAAATATATACATGCATGTGTGTGTATTTATATACATAATAAATATACACAGTACACACACATATATACACAAAAACTTTTATTCTGAAAGCGATTAATCGCGATTAATCGTTGCCCAGCACTAGTAAAAATCAAACAAAGAGATTTTTTTTGTAAAGAACTGGAATCACTTAGTGGCATAGAATCTGAACCAGAATCAGGACCGTTTCTTGCGATTCCTCTCCCTCAGTTAGATTAGGTTTCACTACAAATTGAATTCAGCATTATTATTCCAGTCTTCAATGTCACATGATCCTTCACAAATCATTCTAATGCCGATTCGGTGCCCAAGAAACATTTCTTATCCTTATCAATGCTCCATTGTACATTGTTACACTTGCAAAACACTTTCTGAAAGATCATGTGACACTAAACATGGGTAATGCAGCAGAAAATTCTGCTTTGCATCACATGTATAAATGACACTATACAGAATTCAATCAGAAAACAGCTATTTTAAACTGTAATAATATTTTATAAATAAATAATTTTATGATAATAAAAATCATTCCAAACTTATGACAGGTAGTGTACATGAATGACAGAATTGTTGAATAAACCAACAAACACAGAAGAATTACATGTAACTATATATAACCACAAGACTCAGAGCAGTTTAGTAGGTTAAAGTCCAATTACACCATGGAAAAGACTTTCACTTACTTTGTGTCAAATTCAATGAGGTTGGTGTCAATGGGGGCATCATTTTCTGGAGCTAAAACAAGAAGGTTGCAGAGAGAATATTGATTGGCACTCTGTATGTAATTAGGTAATTGGCATAATATATATATATATATATATATATTAGTATAGTATTTCAGTCTGGCGAGTAAACAAAAAAATATACTAGCCAATGGCGATTCAATTGCCACGGTGTCCGTTGAGGGTTGACTGTATAAAAACAGTTCGTGCTGCACTGTATTTGTTTTGTCCTATCGTATCTATCATATGTTGTTGCCTTGCTGTAACTGATATCATGTTAAAAATAAACCCTACTTTTAAACTAGTTCACCAGAGAAAAAGCAGATAAAAAGGCTATCTGTAACATACCATCTCTGTAGATCGATTCCTCCAATGGTTTGGGATGCATTAATGTAAAGGGTAGCTCAACGGCAACATCACTGGAGAGGGAAACACAAATCATGGGAGTAAGGCATCCAAGAGGCATGATAACCAAATAAGCCCTGGCCATTTAGGATACGCTGCACCCAAACCTCAATCCCACCACTCATGAGTGGCTAACAGAGTGCTGGAACCACTGGCCTATAAGCATCAGCACAAATGGTCCAGTAATTGATGGCATCTTCTCAAGTGTCTGAGTCTGTCTGTGCTTCCAGCCAAAGGCTTGGCTACTTATAGGAATCTCTAATGTGCACAGTTGGCTGGAGTCAGCTGTGTAAGACAGACTCTTCAGTATACGGTCAGTCCTAGTCAGTGAAATTCACTATGGAGCAGCTTTAATCCGGGTTCTAGGGGAGAGAGAGCGAGAGAGCGATAGATAGATAGATAGATATATTATATAAACTACATGTCATGCACACCAGAATGAATCAGAAAGCTCATTTGTGTCCACATTTGTGGCTGGTACCTGTCTCATTACATAAACAAATATGTTTAAAATTTCTAACATTACCAAACGTATAATTAGTTATATTGAATTACATTTTTTATTTCATTTATTATACATGGGAAGTCAACAACATAACACTGTTGAAACATTGAAATATTTGTGTATAATAAAACTCTTTCATTACAATGAAAACAAAGATAAACCTATAATCTTTTCTTTTAAGAAAAAACTGAATTGTTAATACATTTGTGCAGGTTTTTTGGGTCATGCATTCTAAAAATTCCCTTTTTAACCAGTTATAATGATAACTACATTTTTGTGAATGGTCCTTGCCCTTGCTAAACTCACCGCTACAAAGTCAGGGAGTTGTGAATATTCCTAGCATGTTGCTATGCAGTTGCTAGGGTTTTTGTCAAATGTATAGTCCACCATACATAAAGTTAAATTACTGAGAAAAGTGATACCACAACTCTCCTCAACAAGTTGCACAATTTTAGATTTCATGTCTATATCACAAATGCCAACACATTCTCACTTCCAACTCGTCATATTGACACTTGTTCAGTAACCATTTTAACGCACAGGATTAGCGTTAATTTTTCAATGTGCGGGGTAAACTTTTGTCGTCAATATGCAGATGCAAAGGGCATGAGAATTCTATCATGATGACATTGTATATTGGCTTATAATTGTTGGGGTATGATTTTCAATTTAAACAGCCACAGCAATTTTATTTACATTGTATTACACTATTTAGACATTTATGAGCACGCAACCCCTAAACCTAAACACTTGTCAATCTAAAATACAAGATATAACAGGCAGACACAACTACAGTCACAATTATTCCAAGTCTTCCAAGGCTAAATGATTTATGATAACAGAGGCAATCATCATCTCCATCATCCGCCATACAGCACAAAATTGCTATCAGAAAAAAACGTTACATCAGCTTTGGTTGTGAAATACCATTGGCTCTTTGTGTGTCTCGTGACTAATTGCGTCATGCTAAAGTCCGGATGTTAACGGAGCGGGATCACTTTTAGTGATTAAAACCTTATGTTTAATTTTGTTCTTCACAAAAGATTTTGTATGGCTTCAGAAGACTTAGGACCAGATGTAATAACAGCTTGCGCCAGCGCAAACCGTCTTTTAGCGTTAAAATAGTACTGTCAGGATTTACTAAAGACGCGCAGTGATGAATTAGCGCTGAAAAGGCGTGGACACAGTTATGTTTGCCTGACACCTTCTTGAATATGCATTTGTAGAAGTTTCCCCTTTCAAACGCATGGGAGGAGAGTATTAAAATATATAACACAACGTGATTTACTAGCGTTTGCGCTAGTCAAATTACTGGTATCTGCGCCATTATTTAATGCCCAAAATTATGTTTGCGCCTGACCTTATTGAATATGCATTTGTAGGAGTTTCACTTTCAGACGCAAATTTTATGGGAGGAGAGTATTCAAATGATTCACACAACGCGATATACTAACGTTTGTGATCGTCAAATTACTGCTATCTGTGCCATTATTTAACGCCCAAAAAAAGCATGTCTTAAAGCAGGCAGTAATTTGCGCTGCTCTTGATACATAGATTGCAGATTTTTGGTCAGTTTTTGCAGTAAATACTTGTACTTTTATTTGCCTGTTACGTGTTTTATACTGTTGAGAAGTAGGTAGGTTTAGGAATAGGTGCTCAAAATATCTGTGAAAGAAAAGTAAATAAAATCATTTCTGTTTTTACAAATGCATGCAAAGAATTAAATGTGTCTTGATCTAATGCATAAGGCAAACAACTGAAAGCAATGGAGCGTGTATTAAAAAGTGATGCCAAGGGGTCCTGACAAGGCATCAGTATGTGAAAAGTTGGGAGGGAGAAAGTGTTGCAAATGCGTATGTGCTATCAGGAGTAGGAGGGTTGTTTAAAGGGGTCATATGATGCGATTTCAATTTTTCCTCTCTCTTTGGTGTGTTACAAGCTCTTGGTGCATAAAGAAGATCTGTAAAGTTGCAAAGACTAAAGTCTCAAATCCAAAGAGATATTCTTTATAAAAGTTAAGTCAACCACGCCTACCTAAAACGGCTCGTTCTAACACGCCCCCACATATCTACGTCACAATGTGGGAATATTTGCATATCGCCGCCCAAATGTTTACGCAAAGAAAGAAGGCGTAACTTTTATTCTCGCTGTTGCTCACTCAAGGCATGTGTGACGCTGTTTCGTTGTGAAAGCAAAACTACTAAAAGAGGACACGACTAGAAATCAGTGGTTAAGTTGTATTTACAACACTGTTCCAGAACAGTTTATTGTAAAGTTTATTCCAGCATCACTACCACACAGAATGACCAAAATGCACACTTACCCTCCACGAGACACCACAAGCTTCACTTTCACCTTATAAGAAACAATGATGCCCAGAATTTCCTTATTGGCTCCCTCTCTTAACCTTTTGAGAAAAAATGCCATGGAAAGGTGAATTACAAGAAACACAATCCACTTTCAAATGAGAGACTGTACTTACAATGTACTTGAGGCTAAATTTGTGTCTTCATGTTTGAGTTTGCCATCCAGAGCCAAGCCGCGTTTCTCTCGGTTATTCACAAGGAAAGGCGTGAGAGTGTATACTTTACAAAATGTAGCACTGGGGGCCACAATATCACTAGAACACGACACAAAGCAGAGAGCAATTATTCAGATGTCAGCTTGTGTTCTCATACGGTAGCTGAGTGTCCAGTTTGCAGAGGACTTACTCTGATTCCTCTGTCGCTACTGGACACTTGTACTGGGCAGTGTTGAAGAGGCAGATATCAGCATATTGACGCACTACAATAATACAAATAAGTGTTATTGTTTCTTAACTATACACTAGTGTAAATACAAAGTCTATCCACTGTGAATAACTGAATAACCTGAAATCTTGATTTTTTTTACTGTCTTGTTTGTGTTGTTTGTGACATGGACGTTGACACTGATTGGTTCACCATGATAGTAAATCTGAAAGACATCAAGCACAAAGAAAGTCATGCAAACAAAAAGAGTAAATGGCAGCGTAGGAAACAAAATATCTGTACTATGTACAGTATGTGTTTGTAAAAAAAAAAAAGAAAGTATGGTCTGATATTGTAATTATATTATATCTACATTTGGCCTAAATATTTAAGATGCATGTATTTGAATACAAAATGTCCATCCATTTGAATTATACCATTTAAAAATAACTGTATATTTGTCAGTCACACATAAAAGAAACAAGCAAGACTCCTGTTATTGTACTAATAAACCAAATGTGTTGAATACACAACAAGCAGGTTTATAAATTTCTCATCAATAAATCCCATTTCTTTCAATCTAATACATTTTTTGGTTTCACAGCTAGCATGAACTCTGAACTCTGTTCATTCATACTGAAAAAAAAAATAGTTTTTACAATGGACAGATTTATGCTGATTCTAACTGATTCTGAAAATATGATTATTTCAATCAAATAAATCATTTTTTATACTTTATGAACATAGTTTTATATTTATATATATAATATATTTTAGTGCTGTCAAACGATTAATTACGATTAATTGCATCCAAAATAAAAGTTTTTGTTTACATAATATATGTGTGTGTGTGTGTGTATGTTATGTATA